TACCTTTTGTACTCCCTCCCCATGCCAAAACATACTTTCATACCACATCTTGTTAGCCTAGATGACACACTTATGCTTAAATCGTTCAATTTGCGAAGGAAGAGTTGTCAAGACATAGACTTTTAACAAAGGGCCATAACTCCTTAAAAAGGGACGACATCAGCGGGTAATTACCATATCTGTAAACTTTCTTGAAATTGGCCTAGAAGTTTAAGAGAGTTCAAGAAAGGGCCATAACTCCTTTTTAAACGGTCGGAATGAAAACACACTACTCGGATGCACAATGTCAGTAGGCAGTTACCATATCTGTAAACTTCCGTTGAAATTGGCCCCATAGTTTTGGAGGAGTTATCTGGACAAGTGTTTTTCAACAAAGGGCCATTACTCCGTACTAAAAGGGTCAGATTGAAAAAGAATTCCTGGATGCACACCATCAGATGATTGTTTACCATATCTGGAAACTTTGAAATTGACCCCTTAGTTTTGGAGGAGTTGTCTGGACAAGGATGTTTCAACACAAGGCCATAACTTTGAAGAAGAAAAAGGTCAGAATAAAAACGTAATACCTGGATGCACAACCTCAGGTGTTAGTTATCATATCTGGAANGTGTATAATAGTTTTATTATCAAGATTATGTTATTATTTTTAGATAATTGCATAGCTTTGTCTATAACACCATCTCAAACCTAAAGTAGTTCTCCAGAGGAAAGATTACTATGACAGAATACATATTCATGAATTATTACTGCTGTACATAACTTTAAAACATGGCTTATATAATAAAGTGTTTTAGTATGATACAAAAAAAATGAAATTGTATCGGTATTTATCATGATAAACATTGATAGTCAAATCTTCAAGGTTATGTGAAATTGGGCATTGATCATGTTTGGCATGCTAAAAAAGTACTTTACCGGTTTTGTTATTACATAAAAATGATTCTGTAGACAGAATACATATATAGGAAGTTTTTAAAGAAGTTTAAAATACAGACTACCATTGTAACTATGTATAGGCAAGTTGACAATGTAAGTTTTATTTTAAATTTTGTGAAAATTTTGCATGTTTTTCCAATTAAAAGTATCACTACGCTTACTTTATGTCTACCAACATGTCATATTTAGTATCAAAATAACAGTAATCTTATACACTATTCATTATCTTAATTCATTTTCAAATTAACATTTGCCTGTGATATTTATCGGTCATTTTGTTAGGATACCCCTCAACCACTCAACCTGGAGTTATGCAAGGAGGTCCACTAGGATTATCAGTAACATTTATGAATAATCATTTATGTAGTTATCGATCATTTTTATGCATCTACAAATGGCAAAAGAATAATGGAAATCAAAGTGGGGGCCAAATGTTGACTCCACCTTTATCGTAATTTCGGGTTAATTGAGAAAAAAGGTTGAATTTAGCGTACATAAATACACAGTATATACGTATAGTCCACCTTGTCTAAGCTGTAGCAACCGTTACAATACTTCAATAGCAATACGTATGTGAGGCATCATGGATATCAGAAAAAGAGTATGGAGAATTGGTTTGGCAACATATCGCTGAGAGTTAAGGAATATTGAAAAAGAGGACCGCAAGACATATTGGCGGTAAAGTAGTCGGCAAATAAAACGAAGGACATTATATCGAGTCTTTCATTGTTCGTGTTAATGATTTCAATATGACCATCACTAGGCTGGTTTGTATCTTAAAGAAGTCTTCATTTAGTATAACATAAAGGAAACGAGTGCCATATTGAATTTACATGACAAGTTACAATTAGTACATGTACATAATGTAGTTCAGCTGTTGTTTTAATGAATACTTATAGCCTTTCTTTTGTTCCCCCACCTATGTTGTTACATATTAACAGAAGTAAATGTACTTCTGATCTTTGTATTATCCAACATAACTAATATTTGATAATACAAATTGTGAACTTGTAGTGTCACAAGTTTGTACCTGTCATTGATAATGACCATTTAACAACAATTTTATTTTCGGTTGTTTTTGTGAAGTAGTTAATATGTACAACAAAACAAGCTGCAGTCTCTGGACATGTTAACTTGCTGACACAAATATGTATGTATATCACTTCTCTTAGACAATCAGGTCAGTATTAAATGTTCAATAAAGAACCTATCAAAGCTTGGAAGTTCGTAAGATTAACCAGTGATATTTGAGGTTTACTCCCCTAAACCAACATATTCAAATCTTTCGTAGTATTATCTTTTGGAAATGTTATTCCAGTGGACGAAATGATTTTGATTTTAGAATTGAAATACATGTAATTACAATAAGATTAATAGAAAGTTTTAATAGCCGATTCTAGGAATGCATTAGTATAACATAATGAAATATTTATGGCTCCAACTAACAGCATCTGATCGTTGCTCTGGGCTATTAACATTACTGGCCAACACGTTATGTCCCTAATGCATTATTACCGGCGAGGTCGTGATTAAGTGGAAGTAATTAATCACAATTAATTAACTGAGATGTGCTTTTAAGTTGTAGCTGTTGTAACGTTTAACTTCTTTTTATGTGCGAATCGTCGCGGTTGACATTGCATTGGTGTTATGGTATTCCGGGGTGTTCCGAATGCCTGCCGATGCATTACCGTTTATTGTAGAAATGACAGGCAGGGCACGAGACAATATAATGGAATGATTGGACTTTAATCTTGGATATTGTATTCCCATCCAAAATAATCACATCCATCTCGCACGCACATTAACCTGCCTTTATTAAAATCGGAAAAGATGATACGATGCGTTGCCTGTTGAAGTGAACGAGAGTGAGAGAGAGAGAGAGAGAGAGAGAGAGAGAGAGAGAGAGAGAGAGAGAGAGAGAGAGAGAGAGAGAGAGAGAGAGAGAGAGAGAGAGAGAGAGAGAGAGAGAGAGAGAGAGAGAGAGAGAGAGAGAGAGAGAGAGAGAGAGAGAGAGAGAGAGAGAGAGAGAGAGAGAGAGAGAGAGAGAGAGAGAGAGAGAGAGAGAGAGAGAGAGAGAGAGAGAGAGAGAGATGGAAGAGGACGGCAGAGGGCAATGCACTTAGAAAGCCACTAAGAAGGAAGAAAGAGCGATACAAATGCAGAACCTTCAAACACAATTATGTAGTATTAAAACTCTTATTTATTATTTATATACTACTACATTTTCCATGACATGTTTTGGTTTATCATACGGATATGGAATGAAACTATTTAACAAGCTTTATAAAATTATAAGAGAAAGTCAAACCTTAAAAATCAAGGACGGGCCTATTTATTGAGGAAAATATAAAAGGTTTAATTAACTCGTTTCTCCCACGCGTTATATGTGAAACCGACAACGTAAGGAAGAGCCACATTACTTTCTCCTCTGAGATCGGTCGGTCATGTGACCTTTCACTTCCCCGAAAGTCTTAATGCCAGATTTGTCCCTGGATAAACAGCCTATGGTTATGATGTAGATAAAGACAGTCTGTTGGAGAATGTCGCCGTACAGTGACCGAATAGAACACCGTCTTCTGCATCGTTACATAATACAGTGTTAGGATTTACATCATTCATGTGGCAGGGAAATTTCTAAATTTGTAAGAATCGTAAAATTGTATTGGTCCCTTACTATCTGTAAACACTTAAATACACATTACCATGTGAACCTCACGATTACATCATCCTAACATTGCAACTTTAATAGTACCCTCCTCAATAATTTCCGATAAACTCTACGCAGCAGTCACGTGACGGGTGATAAAATGGCAATTCAAATGGCTGATCTAATTTTCAGAGCTGAAGAATTCGCAGGTAACAAAATGCGCGGAACGAAACATTCTCTTCCCACGCATATCATAGCACATGCATGTTAAATAAAACTATACACATTTTGGTGATATACGGAATATATCTTCAGATAATTTCAAACTTTTGTAAAGTTGTTCATTAAACTGAAATGTATTGCCTGCATATACAATGATGTAAAAGACATGTTTTACAGCATACCACACAACTCAAATGTAGGGAGATAATCATGTTACTTTATTCCAGTTTTTGAAGAAGCCAGGATATTAAGTAGACCATTGAAATATGTAACGTCGTGTTCAATCTGGAAGTTCGTTATAAAGAAACGACCGTAGTTACCTGTTACTGTTCTCAAAAAAAAAGGACCCGTATGACATTCCTTTCTAAAGAAAGGTATTTGTCTCAAAGCGTCCTTGCCGTAAGCATTTATCTTCAACTTGCACGTATGCCAGTGTCCAATGTGGGACAACCTCGCGGTTGTTATATTACTTCTAAGTCTTGATCAAGGAGTGGAAAAAGTGCTTGCGTTCAAAACGTTAAGTTTCCTATCGGCTGATGTTCTGAAACGTGACGTCATACCTACCGCCAGAACACAGTCGGCATCCGACACCGCCACCCTGAAATATACCATTTTTAAACATTTTTCTGTTAAGCATTTCAAAACCCCTTTAAGTAATTTTTTCCTGTTTTTTTCAATAATGTTCTGGGTGAATTTGTACGGTATGTAAGAAACCGAAGTTATTTTCTTTTTTTGCATTCACAACAACATGTCGGTTTTACCGAAGTTCCGGTAAATAGATGGGAGAAAAATAGTAAATCGTTATGTAGGCATGCGGGAGAGGAAACTTCAAACTGACGGTGTAGAAATTGGGCCTCGACAAAGCCTCGGTTCTGACCCAAATTCTCGGTATAGCCTCGGTTCTGACCCAAATTCTCGGCAAAGCCTCGGTTCTGACCCAAATTCTCGGTAAAGCCTCGGTTCTGACCCAAATTCTTGGCAAAGCTTAGGTAGAATGTCCTTTTCCTACATACTTTCATTAGATTGACCCAATTATTCTATAGGCTTGTTCCAGCTCTATGATGAAATGGTAATATTGAGTTGGGTGGATCTGACCATATAAACAGCAAGTGATCGTTTATTGAAACTGACCGTTCAAGCAGTTTTGACTTAAGTGTTGACCCCTTGTCTGTATAATATGTTTGTCTCTTTGCAGTGACGCTGTTCTGTATTCCCCTCACCACAGCACAGCATGTATACAGTCCGTGGATTTACGGAGAATTTCTATGCAAAGCTATTGGATTTATGCAAGGTAAGAATGTGAAAAGATTTCTGACATATTGTTTTACCTCTGCAGGTTAACATCACAACATATACATTATGAACCACTTAATTGAACCTTTTGCGAGTCTTTGAAACCATGTAGGTGCAAATTCGTGATTTTCACTGCAACAAAACAACTTTTTTTTTTCAAAACAGTAAACCATGATTATTCCTCAAAACTTTTTTTTTACCCGACTTTGAGACTGGTGTAACATAACAATCAATATTAATTATAACAAGAGTTCAGATTGATCGAAGTTCAACAATGGAGAGTGAATGTCGTTTTCACAATAGAAAATACGTTTGCTAGAAGAAGTGGAAATACATATTTTGTATAACAGTGCGAAGATATATTGTTTAAATCAAAATATATTGTATTTTTTTACCTGGCCAAGGATGCTAGCTTTACTGGAAAAAGCACGCGGATTTCTCCTGCATTCTGAATAAATCTTGACCTTGAGACATGGAAGTTGACAAGTGATATCGGCTAGATTACAGAGTGATCACTTTACGGGTAGTACAGGGCCTTAATGGCCTGTGTAACCTAGTTCTTGTGTTACGAATTCCTGGAGAATAGAGTTCTTTCCGTCAATGGCATTATTTCAGCGGAATCCTATCAGACTCTGTGCGACGTCCGGTGTCAATTTGGTTACCTATTGTTGTATAGAATCGACTTATCTTCCGGCTGTTCGTTATGTTCAGCTGGGTCAAGTGTTCGCAGTGACATCAAATAGAAGGTAGCACTGTTCCTGGTATAGATGACTTTGACCATGCACAATTTATACCCAAGACTGAAAGTTTTGTCTATTTTTACCCAAATTGGCATGACAGCCATTTGGATTGCTTCCTTATTTCTTGAGGGCACAATACGTGATGGATGATATGATCAAAGGGTATCCTAATGTTTCCCGTTATCATAAAGGAGACATAATTGTTACACGGAATGATAAGAAAGTTTATGAGTTAGTCTGGGCAAGGTTCGATGATTACCCTGGTGATGTCTCTCATGACAATCTAAGGTCACGTGTCTGTCTCGTTTCCGAGAGTTTCCACCGTAGTTCAGACGACTATTCTCGTAGGGAGGTATTTGCTCAATTATTACGTCATACGCTATATCCAGTACTAGACTAATTAGGTATCAGCAGAGAAAGTGACACCATAAAATGGAATGTTCATGTGGAAAATCCGCATTGCACACACGTTTGAGGCACAGCTTATTTTGAGAAAAGTAGTAATTGCAATAAAGGTCCGCCATTCGGGAGGAGGTGCTAATACTACAGTAAGGATAAGTCTCCCTGAGAGTGTGACCATTATGATGAGTGTCAGCTGTCTTATAAAGTTGTTCATTTCAAAGAGTGCAAGCCTCCCCTGAGGGAAGTGACAATTGCACAGAGAAAAGCTGTTTTTAAGACGTCCGAAATTTAAAAACGCTGCTACCCTATTCTGTTCCAGGATCTTCTTAACCGTTTTAGTTTCGTCAAGTTTTACTTTATATATCTTTGAACGGTTTACTTGTGTTATTGGAAAAAAGTTTTAATTACAGACGTTGTTTCCGGTAGATATCCTGATAATTGTCTCTAAATTAGGATAAAGCACATTCCGCCAGTCGGAAACCATATCGTCGTCAACAGCGAACGCCTCATAAAAAGTCATCTACACACGACTTATAATCTTAGGTCAATGAATAAAGAACAGAATGCTTGACAACACTGACAGATATAACTCTCACCGACGTCTGGTGACGATACGTCAGCTTCAGAGGGTACATAAATAGATTAACCATAAAACAGCTTATAACCGCCATCGTCTCTTTGGTTCTATGCGAAAACAGGAAACGACACCATATTACTATGTATAACATACATCTCGCAGGATGGGAGTATTATTTTAACTTATTTCTGGAGTTAGCCAAGAATGAAACCATCTTGTCAAACATGTTTTCGAAAAGACTTAAACAATGGATTAAAATGTGTAAATGTATCTCCTCGAAAACAATTAATGACTTGAAACAAAATCGCTCATAAATATTTTCGAAAATGTAATGATATTGAGGCAGATTTATTAAACACGTATATTTTGACGAAGCCAAATTTCCATGTTTTGCTTCTAGGCATTTAACTCATTGAGAAATTAACTGAGGTACATGTACATTCAAAAGCTACAGTGATGCATAGACAATAAATATATTTTTTCATTATTATTCTACCTAGTTGGCGACGTAACGACATTTCATTTGTGTGTAATTGAAAAATATTAAAGCCCGTGAGTGTTCTATTTGCCCCAAAGACCATGTCTGTGCAATGCTTCTCAAAAAACCTATACTCCCTTATGTAATTGTAAATTAATGAGCCGTGTGTGTCTGGTCTAGGATATGTTTAATTTGACGAGTGAGGATACCGTCTTAAATGTACGTATCTAATGGTTTATATAGGTTCGTTAAACTCGTAGATTAGGGACAAGGGCAACGGGAACTATGGCATTCGCTGCGCGCAGCTCGTTGTTTAAGTGAAAACTAGACATCATGTGGCTATGTTTGCACTCGTAAAAGAATAGTCTTATTTAAATAAATGGATTGTCAATGTCGTGTTGTCTAATAGGCACAGGAATAGATACGAAAACAAGTTTCATTACGTTCTGACGTGGTAGAAAAGATACAATCAGGCTCTGTTTGTATATCGTGGTAGAAGATATAACTCAGGATACACAAGTTGACCCCTTGTAGAATACATTCTAACATTTTTCTTTACCTTAGTTACATAATATTGTCTACCATAGTGCGCAAATATACACTGATTATTATTTTATTGATGGAAGAAACCTAAATGGTAAACTATTGCTTCATCAATTAAGCTTGTGACGTCTAAATATGTCAACAACTAAAGGCGTTACGTGGACATGAATACATATATATATGTATGAGACTAAATAACAGGATGACTTCACGTAGAATAACTAGTCTACTGCTGCCTGAATGAAAGCAATCTCTCGACCTGAATAGAAGGTGTGGTTAATAAGACAGGCCGGCTGGAAATCCCATCATCACTTTCAGTCTCCTTAATTATAAACCATCCTAGCTTTCTATCAGTGGATTCCTGTATACTGGGGTGCTGGTTGGTACGGAGGACATCTAAACATTACATATGTATGGTCAATTTCGCTACCTTCAGCTTTATTAGTGGTTATTTTCTATATAGAGATATAAATTTGAAGCCGTTCTCGTTTGTTAACGTCAAACAAATGCATATACATCTCTACATGTATACTAATGATATAATTGCTCAAGCACAACGACAATTATATAAACAATTTATTAGGAAATTTCGGCCCCGTCATTTCCTCGAATGAAAGTCCGTTGTAATTAATATAAATATTGAATTAGCATTCTCTCAATCACGAATTTACATATCTTCGAATAAAATTTACAGACATGGTTCAAGAAAAACAATGCACAAGCTACAGTACCCGCGATGTAGATCGCTAACTCAAATATCTCGTAAGAGATATATTGGAATATATATTTAAACGATTGTTATTTAGACCTTCACGGGTTCGAACCATTAAAGGCAGAATCGGGGGTAAAATATCTCATGAAAATGAATTGATTTTACAATACGCCATAGGAAAGTACACTAACGATTCATCAAGAATTAATTTTACCTCAATGTTAAATATATGTCAGTGTGTTTATGCTACATTATTACGAAAATATTATCTAGTAAGTGTCACAGCTTAAGTTCCACTTCAACAATGTCTTCTTGCTTTCAGAGCATATTTCATTCAACCATTACGTATCAGTTTGCTAACTAGCTTCGGTTGTTGTAGAGAAGAATAGGTCCGACCTCGCTAAAGGATGCCATTCCATAGGGTAACGATTGAAGTACTGCTACTTGAATAGGAAAATACTTTGTTTCTTGACATGAATAGGAATAATGGTCAAGAGGACTCACCGGCCGGTAATCCTCACACCAAATATGACAGTATCACAATCAATAAGGGATAATAAATATCCAAAGACTTTTATGTGTGTCGATGCTGTATTGTATCCATGACTTCTCTCGTTCTATCGATATATGGTCATTACCGCTACCTTCATCTTTATCAGTCGCTTTTTTTGTATGCCTATATTGATATATATCTAATGTAGTTACCGTTATGTTTACGCCAAATTCAATACACATTTGTAGTCGGTGGTGTTAATGCCCTGTCTTCTCTTCGGGTTACATTTGCTGGCTCAAGTGTTACGAACTTGAACAGGTTAAGGAAACAATCCTCCGGAGAATATTTAGAAAAAGAATTCCTTTTGAGAAAAGTTCGAGGACCTGATCATTAGTGTTTGTAAGTTTTATCTTTGTCTAACTGTGAACCCTATTTGAAGTCGTCTTACTGACAAGATCCATGTCAAATCGTGTGGGTGATCATGTGTCACAGTGGATACATCACTCGCCTTAAACCAAGACGAGTTCTATCCCCTGATCGGACCTGATATTGGATCAACTGCCCGACCACGTGGGTTTTTTCTGGATACTTACAGGTTATATCAAACATTTAGACCTTTTGCGCACTTCTGGGGAAAGTAATTGATACAAATTGAAAAAAGGTATATCATTGCTGTAAAGTATTTTTTTTTTTAGATTAAATCTAGGTCAACTACGTTATAGCCATTAATAGGATATTGACATTATCAAAGATTGACGTTTTATATTGAAGACATTGTTTTCGGGATATGTTTGATAATTATCTCTAACTAGGGTTGATCATATTCCGCCAGTCGGAAACCATACCGTCCTCAACAACGAACGCCCCGTTAAGAATCGTCTAAAGGTAGGGTCAACGCCTATGGAGATTTAACATTAGCGGCGGCCCCAACTTGGAATTTCAAAACAAGATAAATCAAAAAAGGTATGGGTATAGGAAGCTTAAATCAGGGACAGTTAGTGTCAGAATTCATTTGATGATAAATGGGACCTCCTTGACTTGCACCTGTATGGG